AGAGAGAGAGAGAGAGAGAGAGAGAGAGAGAGAGAGAGAGAGAGAGAGAGAGAGAGAGAGAGAGAGAGAGAGAATGCAAATAAAGTTCACCTTATTTGAATAGACATACCTGGGAGCCAAAATAATTTCTGCCCACTCTAGATGGCCTAATCCTAACTGTATTATAAGAGGGTAAAAGTAGCCTGAATCAACTGCTTATGGAAGGCACAGCTGATCCCTTCTCTCTTCTGTTCTATCCTCAATAGTGTTTCTCATTCTGTGCCTATAGATTCAGGCATTCTCTGTGGCAGATGGAACCACCTGAAGGAAGTTCCTATAATGACTTTTCTATCAGGCTATTAAAGGGCAATAATGCAGGGAAAATTGAAAATTTCCACACTTCTGTCCTGTCTACAGTTTGAGGGAAGGCGATTGATTCTGCTTTGGTCTTCCTCCATCTCTGAATGGAATGGCAGAGAGGACGATTGTATGTCTCAGCCACTCGCCTGCTATCTCTTTTTAGGAGCTCTGTTGCCCAACAGATGCGTGAAAACTCCCAAATTCATTTTGAAAGTTATAGTTCAAGCACATCTGGAGAACAGCTTTTCTTTTCATCCATTTTTGATGGCCTGAATCTAATAATGCCACACGAAGGAAGAAAAAGCCATTATACTAAGTAAATAAATAAACAAATACTGCCTCTACTTTGGAGTCAAGATAAAGGGTAAGAGAAGTATATCTAGCAAAAATTATAGTGTGTCTTTGAAAAAAAACAATGAGATCAGAATACCTATTGCCTAGGGTCCAGTAAAACCTAAGCTAAAAGGCACCCCAAAAGAGTAGGGACAGGTTTATCTGTTCTTTAATCTTCACTACCCAACAATTCTGTTTCCAGCAAGCTTGGTGAAGGAACAGGAGCTTGGTGAAGACAAGATGTTGCTGAGGGACCGCATGTGCGTTTTCACACCCATATACCCACATGTAGTCAACACATGTGGCCTTTGGGCCAAAGACTATCTTTGGTCTAGGGCAGGGGTAGGCAACCTTGGTTCTTTTATGACTCGTGGACTTCAACTCCCAGAATTCCTGAGCCAGCCTCCCAGGAATTCTGGGAGTTGAAGTCCACAAGTCATAAAAGAGCCAAGGTTGCCTACCTTTGGTCTAGGGAGACTAATAAAGTTCATAGAACAAGCTATATAACTCTATTTCATTATCAAAATTATATTTTGATTATATTAAAGGATATTTAAGATTTTCTTTATGAATGAAACAAATCATAGTATAAACATAAATAAGAAAACCTGATGTGCCAGTGTGTAAAATAAAGTTTAAATAGACAATGCTTTTAAAGAGGAATGTTGTCGAAGATATATCTGTAATTTAAGTAATTATGTCATCTGAAAGCAAGTGGATTTTGTTAATGATTTAATTTTCAGATTCATAAATTAGAAGTGAAATATAAATAAATATAAATATAAATAAAAGTTTTTCTCAAATATTAAAGGACATTAACTTCAGGTATGTCAAAATATGTGTAACACATGGGTTTCTACTACACAAAAAGAATTATATGATGTGCAAAATTAATATTAAATGTTCAACTGCCCCAAGTTACTGTTTTGTAAACCCGAGATACCTCATCCAACATTGCCATCATAATTTAGCCATTTCCTGCCCTGCCATTTGGTGAGCTCAAGTGGAAAAAGAAATAGTTGAACAGATTATGAAACACTAAGACTAAGGAAACTATCCATCCTTTCAAACACAGAGAAAATCCCATCCCTCCTCGTTTATATATGGCTCCACCCACAATATGTTGTGATGCTTGCCCTCTGAAGGAGCAGCCTGTGGCACTTCAGACCAAACCAACCCTAAAACCCTGTAGACAGCCTGAAAATAAACAAGTTTTTACCCCATTTTCAGATCGATTGCTGCTAGTGTACCTTTTTGATGTGTAATATTGCCTGGACTGTATGATATGTTGTTTCCTCTGTAAAGCTCTATTTTTATATTTATTTTCTCTTTTTTATGTATTGTATTGGTTTTTAACTGTACATTTCCCAAACTCTTTGCTGAGTTGGGAAGCCTCATAAATCTAAATTAATTATAAATGGGACATGGTCTCCCCCAGCACCGAGATCATTAGCAAATACTGTATGCATGACTTGAGTGTGCAAACATATGTGAATGCATAAACTCACAATAAGCTAGGCATTTAACTGGCATTTAAGTTACCTATTCCTGCCTTCAGTTTGATTTAGAAATCAGTACAGATGCCACTGACAGCTGTACCAGCCTGTCATTCCACCCACAGCCCTAACATTCTCCATCTCTCAAATCCCACCTTTCCCCACCTATCTCCATGGGTTGTTGTTGTTTTACAGGAAAGGAATAAAGAAAAACGCAATTCAGGTGCTGTAACTTCATAACCCATTCCGTTTCTTTCGAAAATCAGTCTGTACTTTATTAGACATTAGCTCTTTGGTCCGCATTGATTGCAACCGAGTGATAACTCCTGCTTCTATCTTTCCTACGCATGTTGTTGCCTTTTTAATGAGCTCCTTTCCAGTTTGCAGAGAAAGGAGAATGGTTCGGCTGAGTCCAATTCCCGCTTTGGATTGCGCTGCCCTAAAGGCGACTGAGCAGACGGCTTGTCCTTTAGCGAGCAATTAATTATACTGCCTCGCGCACCTGCGCTCACCGGTCGGTCAATATGCTCTACCCAAGGTCCCTTAGCCCCGGGAACCCAAACAATGCCAGAAGTTAAGGCTTTCCAGGGTGTTATCCCTCCTCCCCTCCCCCCCCACACTGCCTTGTATATTAACCTTGGAACTACTGCACTCAACGCAAGCAAAGTAAGTTGCACAAAAGGTGTATTTTGATAAAGGGAGACTTTCCATTCAGTGCTGCCGCTGCCTGCACCGTTTCAACTCGTCGCTTTCCCCTCCTGTCCCCCAGGAGCCTTAATTTAATGTCTCCGAGACCTACCAAAGGGCTGGCCGGATTGATGTTCTGCTCTACCCTCTCTATTCAAGATGTTCGCAAGGGGGGGTAGAGCACAGGAGTTGTGTGTGTTTAAACGGGGGAAGAGAGTCTTTTGACCATTCTGGCGTAAGGGTGGGGTGGGGAAATCGTACTGACCAGTTGTGGGAACATCGGGGACCAGCTTGATGGGACCGATCTGCCGCATCTGAAACGCCGTCCTCACTTCGTGGCAGCTGGGGTTCTTGCCTCCCGAGACCCCGCGGCAGAGTCCGGCGGCCGCTGTCGCTAGCAGCAAGAGCTCGAAGCGTCGCCAACACAAGAAGACTCCACGGCTGCTGTCACCGGCCATTTCCACATTCCCCACAAGGGACAAAGATAAAACCAGGGACGCCCGACACGCGTCCCAAGAAATAAACCAACACGCACACACGCACGAAACGAGGGAGCAGGAGGGAGGGAGGGAAAGCGGTGGCAGCGAGCGTTCAAGTTGAGAAGAAACTTGCCCTGGATAAACTTGCGAGCAGTGGGCGGGGGATTGAAAAGAGAGAAAGGGGGGGGGGAAAGCCCCGCGGAGGTCCTGCACCGAACCTCTCGGAAGTCCTGATCCCGGGAACAGCAACGTTCCAAGCGTGGAACCCTGCAACTTCTAGAACTTCCGCTTTTCCCGCGAGGGTTCGAACAGTCGGATAGCTAAAAGATCGTCAGCTGGGGAGACGCCAATGTTCGAAATGTGACTTTTCCTCCTCCTCCTCCTCCTCCCTGCTCTGCCTCCAATGAACGCGCCCGGCGGGAGGTGGTGGTGGTGGTGGTCCTGCAGCCCACTCCTCTTTACTGTAAGCGTAGTTGCTGCAAACGGAGCCGTCCTTCTATTTACTGGCTTGCACTATACGTTACCCTTTTTCCAATAAGGACGTTTCTTTTTAAAATGCGTTTGCAGAGGAGAACCCTTGCAACCTCTTTATTGCAATATACTCCACCTGGGAGTATTTTTCCAAAACTCGCTTCCCTTTTGAAAAAAAAACTTATAAAGTAAGTTTCATCAAATGAAATGTGGACCGGCAAACAAATAAAATACAGAACTATTTCTCCGTTCTGGCCTACTTCCAGTACATTGTGGATCATCTTCAAGGAGTGTACATATTTAAGTGTAATAGTACTTCTCAATTCCACATTGATAGCGTAAGCCCATCTATATAAAGACTGCTGCTCCTTTGAGTAAAGAGCAGGGTGGCTAAATGTAAGCAGGACAAGGTAGAAGGCCGAACTATGCCTAACAATGGACAGAACTACAGGAAACTGAAGACATATAGATGCTAACAAAGATGTGTAAGGATGGTGTGGGTGCAAAAAATTATCACCTCACAGAAAAACAGCTGCAGTGTCTTGGCAGAACTCCCTGAAATTTTTAAAGACTTTCCTTCAGATATGTAATAAAAATCTTGTTCAGCAATACTTGTTCTCAAGCCTGAAACAAAAGAATTAGCTTAAAAGTTTTGTAAGATTGCACTGTGCACACTAATAACTTTTTCTTTGTATAAAGCCTCAGTAATGTGGGAAATTTTACATGTTGACTTTCTGTCAGTTGCCAATTATTTAATACTTGGGAGCCCTGCTGTAGCACGCTTATCAAATTTAATGTATGTGAACCATAAGCAAAGTTTAATTTAAAACAGAATTCCATTTTCTGCAGTTTGGGCAGTTTTCTAACTGCCAAAGTAAGTAACACATGACTAATATCTGCTGCTATTTAATAGTTATGTTGCTAAAGCAGTGCTAATGAAAACTAGTCTGCAAAGCAGACAGGAAGGATCAGACAAACTAAGGAAGAGAGGGGTAACAACTGAGACATAACTAAGATGAAGCTAAGGATGACTCAGAATCACAAATGTCCCTATGGAGATTGTCAGTCATCCAGGGCTTGTTGTCCCAAAGGTGCTTTTTCAAAAGGCAGCTGGACTTTGTTTTTCCAGTGAATGTGAAAACGCACCTTTGGGATGTTCCTGATAAAGATAAATTGGAAATAAATACAGACTTCACCATCCTTTCTTTTACAGCTACCATACTCATACCTTTCCTTATTCTTGAATTAAAGTCCTATCCATTCATCCTGGCATTGACAAAGTTGCTATCCTGAGTGCCAATCCTTATGTTTCTATGGTTTTTCCAACTTATCATTAAATGACATTGTCCTGTTTGATTTATGTCTATTTGAGCTGGCAAAGAGATTGTTTACCCTTTGTTGCCCTCCCTTTTCAGCATCTCACCAACTGATGGGGAAAACATTCAATTCATCAGCAGATTAATTTGACATAGAATCACTCTAGTTAGACAGCCAGAATATGAAATTAATTCCTTGATCCATCCTTTCAACTGTTAATAATATAATTTCTGCCATGCATTATTCTGATATTAGAAGCTGAAAGATAAAAATAAAGATTCATGGATAGGTGGCTCCAGTATGGCAAGGAAGCACTTAATTTAGGTGGAGAGTGATTGTCTTCACTTCAATATATATTTGGAAGAGTTGAGTTTACTGATGTGTCTTACTATCAAGCCGCCTTCCATTAAATATGTTAGGTACTACCACCAAATTGAACTAAAGTACCTTTGTGAAGGCATTTACATAAAAGCTCCCTTTAATAGACAAAGTAGGTCACAGAGATCTGGAGACATGGGGAAGGAAGGGTGTAACTCTGTTTTGACTATACCTCCTCATATTTCAGCGAAAACACTTATCCATTGCTTGATATAACTACTGAGCTTTCATGTTACAAAACCATAAAATCTATACGAGGCATTTTTTTGAATAGGACTACTAAATTATAACAGAATAAGTTTCACGTTTTCTAGAACTCTTTGTCAGGCAGATTGTTGAACAAAACAGGAATATGGAAAAAAGTGATACAGGCAGTAATGTAATTGCTTTTGAAATCTAGAGTTTATTCGTTTGCTTAAAATTTTGTTTTATAAAACAAAAACAAGTTTTGAACTCAAAGAAAAAATTCAAAAAGCATAAAATATTTTTTTTAAGTGCTAAATTTGTGAGTGGCCCAATTTTCCTAAGTTTGAAATGTTGTCCCACTGTAGAAACTTGTTGCTTCATATTGCCTCCAAGCTCCTGAATTCAAAATATCCATTTTTATCCCACCTCTTTAAATCAAGACAATAATTATTCCCGTCAGTTTAGAATGTCTTTCCAAGAAACTTTCACTGCATGACAATTGCTACGAAAACAAAACAAAACAAGATTACTTACTTAATTCTTTTCATTTTTATTACTGTCCCCATCAGATGATTCTGGGCAATGAACAGAAAAATCCAAAACAGCAATTTCCACAGTAACATATTCAAGGTAATAAATATAACACAATCAATGAGAGTGAGGAAACCAAATGAATCTCCAGAGCTAATACATTCCATAATATATGGGCCACTGCCATGAAGGCATGCTCTCTAGCCCTCAGCCCCTTTGGTGAACTACTTTGGAGACAAATTTCTAATCTTATAAATTGTTTTTATAGAATAAATAATCCTTCATTAATGATACTTAAAATGATTCACAACTATGGATAGAAGTCATTCTAAATGTTAAATGTTCCTCTTCTGCTTTTATTAGAAAAACACAAACTTTAAAAAATCTTGGTAAATTTACAGCAGCATGAGAGTTCTTGGAAGAGTAAATGCTTCTTCCCTACTTTTGTTCCTTATAATTGCCAAGTTACCACAGTCTAAAAGAGGCTACAAAACTTCAGGGAACTTGATAGCTGCCCTTATTCATTCTAAAATCCCTGAGGAATTACAGTCTAATGGTAGTCAAGTTAAACCAAATATATGTCTATGGAGATTCTCAGTCATCCAGGTTATGATTGTCCCGAAGATGCTTTTTTCAAAAGGCAACTGGACTTTTTTGGTTTTGCTTGAAGAAGTTTCATTTCTCATCCAAGAAGCTTTTTCAGTTCTGAACTTAAAACAAAGTCCAGTTGTCTTTTGAAAAAGCACCTTTGGGAAAACCAAATGTATGTATATTCTAATGCAATATTAAAAATGCTTACCCATCTCCTTACTAAACATCATTGTAGAATAATCTTAGGAAGCCATTAGCCCCATAATATGGATGATTCAAGTCATCCAGGTATTTTTGCACGAAACATAAAGAATATCCTCTGTCCATAATAAACATAAACTCTTGAACAATCTCAATTCATTTTAGTGGAGCTATGCTGAAAAATATCCTAGTTATTCTGTATTCCATCAGTCAGATTCATCTGTCTATTAGTCTGCCTCTTAAACTTGAAACAGATGCCACCAGTTAATTCCTGTTGAAATAGTATGTGCACATTAAATGGTTTCACCTCTTGGAAACATTCATTCTAGTTGTCAGCAGATCTCCTGGCAAAATATCAACAATTTAAAAATAATTGTATGTTTCAAAAAAGAAATCATTTCAACTTACATATTCATTGTCTCAAATATACCGTATAACCACCAGCTGTAGCACAGGTGTATCAATAGTGGGGTTCTTCTCAGTCATGTGCTACTGTTATTAACTAAATCATCTGATGTTATCAGTTCTATATTATTAACAACATCAATCAAATATTTGTAACTTGCAAATACATTATTTATATTTTCATGAAGTCTTCATGATTTCATTGGTTTTACATTCTTATCATATTGCCAAAGTAAACTCTATTCATTAATATAAATGCATATATTAATGTAATCAGGACTTTTTTCTTTTATTCATTTTATTTTTAAATTTTTATGTTGACTTATTAAAATTGNGGGGGGGGGGGGAAAGCCCCGCGGAGGTCCTGCACCGAACCTCTCGGAAGTCCTGATCCCGGGAACAGCAACGTTCCAAGCGTGGAACCCTGCAACTTCTAGAACTTCCGCTTTTCCCGCGAGGGTTCGAACAGCCGGATAGCTAAAAGATCGTCAGCTGGGGAGACGCCAATGTTCGAAATGTGACTTTTCCTCCTCCTCCTCCTCCTCCCTGCTCTGCCTCCAATGAACACGCCCGGCGGGAGGTGGTGGTGGTGGTGGTCCTGCAGCCCACTCCTCTTTACTGTAAGCGTAGTTGCTGTAAACGGAGCCGTCGTTCTATTTACTAGCTTGCACTATACGTTACCCTTTTTCCAATAAGGACGTTTCTTTTAAAAATGCGTTTGCAGAGGAGAACCCTTGCAACCTCTTTATTGCAATATAGTCCAATACTTCACCTGGGAGTATTTTTCCAAAACTCGCTTCCCTTTTGAAAAAAAAACTTATAAAGTAAGTTTCATCAAATGAAATGTGGACCGGCAAACAAATAAAATACAGAACTATTTCTCCGTTCTGGCCTACTTC